GGAGCGCAGCCGGGGATGAGCGGAGGGGCGGGCGCGCTGCTCCCCGCGGCCGAGCCCAGCTGGGTCATTCCCAAAGTTTCCCTGCGGGCGGGGGAGGTCGCGGCAGGGGCTCCCGGCGCCCCGGGTGCCTTTGTTCGGTGTCAGGGAGGGCCGGGAGTGCCCGCGGTGGGGCAGGGGGGCACCGGGGATGGTGCTGGAGCTGGAGCGCTGGGTTTGTACCTGCGAACAGGTATGGAATGGCTCGGCTGGGAAGCGAGCCTAACAATCATCTCCTTTCCCTTGACCAGGTTGTTCCGAGCCCCAGCAATTTTATAGCTTTACGGTTTTATAGTTTCACAATTTTATAGTTTTATAGCGGGAGATCGAAACTGTCGCTTAGCTGAAAGTGGGTTTGCTGCCGCCGTTGTCATTTGCGTTTTTTTATTGTGAATGTGCCGTGCAAATTTTTGTGGATCTGGATGTTTTTGCTGTTATTAAGGAGTTTTATTCTCAGCAGTACCTCAGGGTATAACGGAGTGCTGAAATCCCTCTGAGGAGCACGCAGAGAAGTGCACAGAACAGGAGCTCATCTGCTCTCAGTGTGATTTTTCCCCTTTTTCCCTTTTTTTTATTCTTCTCTGCATAACTTTAGAGAGCTCTGTGTGTCTTCAGTAAAATTTCTTTTGTTGAATTGTTCTCCAGCAGGAGCTGTAGAACTTAACAAATACTGTTTGTTCTTGCATAACCAGGACTGTGTTGGTAACTATTTTTTGACCATTCTCTATGCAAATCATGATAATTTGCTGTATATATTATAGATGTAAGTAGACCAGAATGGATGAAGATATTTACTTCCATTTGAAGCAGAACTTCTTAATTATGTTGTTTTTAAAGGCATTTTAGCGGCCTTAAATGTTGAAAAACCCAAAAGTGTTGAATTTTGAGTGCTTGGGTAACAAGATGGAAATGCATAAGTATGAGCATTTTTTATTTGTTTTTTTTACTCTTTATAATGTGTTTGTAATAGAAATCATGAACTGGTTGCATAGCTGTGTGTTGTATTCCCTGATATGGAAACTTCAGATTCAGCAGTCTGTGCCAATGAAGGTTATTTTGGTGTTTCAAATTTTTTAGGGCTTTAGATTTAAAAAAAAAAACAGCCAAAAAATGTAGGTTTAAGGAATGCAGATGTGTAACCAACATTTCTGTAGCTCTTGCAGTGTGAGGTGTAGGGGAGAGTTGTCCTCACATCTGTGTTCCCTGGTATTAATCTTGTCCAACTTTGTTCTGTCATTCTAGGAGTTGGCTGTCTTTCATTCCAGATGTTTTCATGCCAGGAGATTTACTCCTTATTTATTTGTGGACTCCTTGTTTCTTTGTGGAGGTGAATAAAAATTACTCCTTCTATTTTATCATCCTTTTCTTTTTTACTCTAGGATTAATAGGAGGAGAAATGTGGGGCAAACAGCTGCAGGGTTTGAAGGCCATGAAGGCTTAAATAGCTAAAGATGGACTTAAACTCAAGACTTATTGATTTTTATTTTTAGCTTTGAATTTTTTGCTTGGGATTTGCTTCCTTGTGCAGATTCTGGTTTGTGAAAATTGTGGTAACACAGATCCAGTTTTGGGGGAATCCTTAAGGTGATGCAGAGGGATAAAAATGCTTCCTGAATACTCAAATCCTGGTGGGAACAGTCTGCTAAATGAGGCTGTGATGGTTTGGGTGGCTCTGGCAGTGGTGGTGTGTGGATATTTCAGTGCTGTTCCCTGGTGTTGTGCTCTGCCATTATCACATGCAATCATCTGTGGTGAACACACCAAACAACCACAGTAAAACAGCTGCTTGAAGGAAAACTTTTATGGGATTCCTTCCTTAAACTTTCATTTAGGGATGCTGAAAGAGCTGAGGATAGAAGTTCCTCGAAGAAATAGCTCTTCAGTTTCTAAATATGTACTGTTTTGGGGGTGATTCTTGGGAATTCCTACTATCTCCTGCCTTTCCAGTATTTATTTTAAGAGAGAAAAAGTGAAAGGTGCAAGAAGAGGCAGGGAAGAAATAGAATTGATAGTTACTTTTTAAAGTCTTAACAGCATTTTCATTTCTCCTTCTCAAGAGAGTGAAAATGAATAACAGCACTTTGGGATATTTTTCCATTCAATTTAACCACTGTAAAATCAATTTCCTTTATAGTTTTGGGTATAGTAGTCAGGCTGTGCATCAGAATCTCCTGTTTCTGCAGGGTGTGTTTTGTAGTCTGCTCCATGAAGCCTTGGGAAGGGAGGGGGTGGTGTTGTCATAGCCCCAGAGAATCAGGGATTGAGTGGATCTCCTGAAGAGGAAAAGGAATCATAGGAACCTGGTAGGAAGACATGAGGGGAAAGACAGCTTTCCAATGCTATGAACTCTTCCTCTGCTTCTCTCTTGCTCCTACTTTTTGGCACAAAAAGCTCCTTTTTAAGTTCTCCAGAAGAGTTGAGCTCAAATTCTGGCCTTTTACATTTTGTCAGAGCTTTAGATTTAAACCAACCCATCAGAAAAGCCTAAATTAAAGGGAATACAAATGTGTGAAAACATTTTTGTAGTTCCTGCAGTGGGAACTATAAGAAGTTGTTCACTGCACTTGGAACAAAACAAATCCCATAAAATCTAAGCTGTGCTCTTCCTGGAAGGAGCTCTGATGGTCAGAATCTGAGCCAGGAGTTCAGGCCATGGAAGCAGAGGACAAGTTAATCACTGAAAAATGCTTCATATATATTTGGGGTTGTGTTTTATTTTGGGATGGATGATGCCACTGTCACTGCCCTCTGAATTTAGCCCTGGAAAAGCTCTGGTTGAACAGGAGAAAGGAAGTGCTCCCTTTCCAGAGTGAAAGGCTGAGCTCTGGAGCTCCAGAGGATTCCCTTTTACTGCCTGGGAATGGAGCACCTTTTATTCCTCTGGCAGGGAATGTTTGAAACACCAACAACCCCCAAACTGTTTTAACATGAAATACGGGGGGATGACTTGCCTCTTGACTAAGCTAAAAATTTTCAACATTTTTTGTATGAACTTGAGGGAAAAGGTCTTGACCTGCTGCATGGAAGGGGAGGGCAGGAGAATGAAATGTGTGCAGGAGAAGGAAACAAAGCAGTCAGTTCTGCTGTGCTAACATCATCTGGGGCTGACTCATAGGCCTGACTTTTCTGGGCAGAAAATTCACTTACAGACAATTCTGTTTGGCTGCACTGTCTTGTGATGAAACTTGTAGATCCCAATTCTTTTTTTTTGAGTACCACATAATATTTTTTTTTTAATTCTTTTTATCCTGGCACTTGAAACTTGCTGCCAAAGGCCTCTCTACCATTGCAGCCTTCTACAACCTCTTCAGTATGTTTTGTGTGATGGGGTTGTGTTTGTTTGGGTGCTTGTGGAGGTTGTTTTGGGATATTTTTAATAAAAGCTGTCTGTGCTTGTACAGGGAGTGGAACTTTGCTCTTCTCAGGTAAAAACCCCACAGCAGGTCAAAGCTCAGCTTCAATGCAGCCGAGGGCTTGCTGATTGCCCTGCTGTGATTTTGAAACACTGTCAATTTAATTCCTGTTAACAGCAAAGCAATAATAACTTTTATAATCCTTCAGCCTGACAGATGTGCTCCAGAGCACTTACTCATGGGGAGGGGAAGGTGGGGTTTGTTTGCAGAAGGGCAGCAACTTCCACATGTCATCTTTATCCCAAGGAGCTTTCCTTGGAACTTCAGGCACAGAAAGGAGTTTGCTGGCTTGGAGAATAAATTAATTTTGTGAGAGAAGCTGTTTCTGACTGTTCCTCTCTGGCTTTCCTGACACACAAAGCCCTGCTCATTATGGCAGTGCATGTTCCAGGTATTGCTTCCAGGTAAAAAGCCAGGACAGAAGGTTGTAGGACAGTGGAATCCTGATTCTTTATGGTTTTGCAGCCTTTGGCAACTTTGAACTTCCCAAAACAAGTTACTGCATCAATTGAAAGTGTTTGTGGGTGATTGATGTGGGGGTTTTGTCACATGGGTGGGATTTTGGTGGTGTAGGTGGGTCAGTACTCACAGAAATTTAGGAAACCTCCTCACAGTCTGCAGCATGAATTGAAATTCACAGCTGGAACTGTGCCCAGAGGGAGTCATCACTTGCTTTACCCAACCTGTGAATTAAAGATTTCAGCCTTCAATCACAGCTTTCCTCCAGTACTGAGTGTATTACAATTCTTCAGCTTTGTTGTTAAAGCTGTTGGGGTTTTTTTGGTTTTTTTTGGTTGAAGTGATATTCTAATATAAATCTTAAATTTGATCTTGATATGCTTTTCTCCAGCAATCACCTACTTAACTTTTGCATTTGGGGAATGTTGGTGTATCTTCAAGGAGTAGGTTTTAGTAAGGAAGATGAAGGTTTTTGTGGAGGATTTTTATTTTTTTTTTTCCTTCCTGAGGAAATAAGCTTTGTGGAATTTACTCAAACTGAGTAATGGTAGGGATTGTAGGAAGGGTAAATATTTGTAAGGCTTATGTGCTCTGTGCTGAAATGCTGTTTCACTTGTGTTAACTCTTCTCTCCAGTGGATACTGTATCTAAAGAATTTTAAAAGATTCTGTATTATTTGTTAGTTTTAAGCAGAACAATTTCCCCTTCCCTAATTCAAACTAGGTCTGCATGCTGAATCTTTCAGAAGAGAAACTTTGATTTTTGGTGCTATGGAAATATGAACTGCATGATTTATTTTCCTTTCTTTTTGAGCACTATTCACATGACCTCCACTTAAATTTCTGGGAATTTGAGGGTTTTTCTCTTTAATGTTTAGATATTTAAGGTCCAGTTAAAGCAAGGAGAGGTACATGAGTAGAATGAAACCTGTCACAGAGGATGAATTGTTCCTGTGAGTGGTGTGTTTGCCACTTCACAGGAAAAGAAGGGAATTAATCTTTGAGTTATATTTGAGTTTAATTTTGGTAACAGAGACTAAAAGCTGAACTTTGAGTGGAATATTGTGACAGCTGTTGATTGGAATAAGCTTTGCTAATGTGAAGGGCAAAACCTTCTCTTGGATGCCCTGCCAGAAAAAAAACCACTGCTGTGACAGATTCCTGCAGGAGGAATTCCCTTCTTTTCCCCACTTCTAAGTGGGAATTCTGTCCTCTGGCTGTACATTCCCATAAAACAGGCACAGAGCTGGAGAGCCTCGCTCAAATCAGGAATTCCTGAGTTAACAACTGGATTTTAGGAGGAAAAGGTTAAGTGGATAATGCTTTGGGGAGAAACAGGGAGCAGGCAGAAGGATCTTGTCCACTCAGGGATGTGTCCTGCAGTTGCTGATAGAGATGGAAGAGCCTGGAGGAAGCAAATCATTTAAAATGTTGGCGGTACCTCCATGCTTGGAGCTCCTCACAATTAAAATCATCTGTGATTCCAGGTGCTCAGTGAACTATTCCAGCCCTGAACAGCCAGCTCTTCCTTAAAAATTCTACTAGAGTACTAATTTCATTTGAATTACAGGAAGAAGAGTCAGTTTTCCACCCACCTGATCTGAAAACTCAAAGCAGGTGAACTACAGAACACACGCAAATAATTGTGTCTACATTAACTGTTAGAAGTGGGAAAAATAAAGATATAGGTGGAGTCATCCAGCAGCAAAATAAAGATTTTATCTAAGCCTGTATTTGATATAATCCTCTGATATTTGCTGTAAAACATAGCATGTTCTTAGTCCTTCCTGGAAATTAAATTCAGCAGGTTTTGAAATGGTTTTCTGCTAAAAGTTTTGTTTAGACTCTTGTGCATGTCTAAAATTCATCTAATTTTTTTTTCTTCTCATCTGCAGAAATTAAAGTTACTTTTGAATAATGCAATTTTATGAAGCTGAACTGAAAAAGAATTAATGAGAAAGCTTGCTTTTATTTTGGGTGTTTTGGGATTTCAGACTTAATCTTGTCTCACCTCTTGAAAAAGTAATAAAAAAATTCTAATTGTTTAATTTTTTTTTTTTCTCCACTTGCCAGACCTTAATTTATTTGGGATTAGGATTCCCATGGCACGTGAACTAGAGGATAATTTGGAGTAGGAGGTGTCTTCATGCTGCCCAAGATGGTCGGGAAGCTGAAGCAGAACCTGCTGCTGGCGTGCCTGGTGATCAGCTCGGTGACCGTGTTCTACCTGGGCCAGCACGCCATGGAGTGCCACCACCGCATGGAGCAGCGCGGGCAGCCCCCGCGGGGGGACGGTGCCAGGGCCACGCTGGGGACAGCCCCCAGTGCCAGCACCAACAGAACCCTGCCCTACAGCAAGGACATGCCTCTGATCTTCATCGGGGGAGTGCCCCGCAGCGGCACCACGCTGATGCGCGCCATGCTGGACGCGCACCCCGATATCCGCTGCGGGGAGGAGACCAGGGTGATCCCCAGGATCCTGGCTGTGAAGCAGATGTGGGCCAGGTCCAGCAAGGAGAAAATCCGCCTGGATGAGGCCGGGGTCACGGATGAGGTGCTGGATTCAGCCATGCAGGCGTTTTTGTTGGAGATCATCGTCAAACACGGCGAGCCCGCTCCCTATTTGTGTAACAAGGATCCCTTTGCTTTAAAATCCCTAACTTATCTCGCCAGAATTTTCCCCAATGCCAAATTCCTGCTGATGGTCCGGGATGGCCGTGCATCTGTGCATTCCATGATCTCCAGGAAAGTCACAATAGCTGGCTTTGACCTGAACAGCTACAGGGACTGCCTGACCAAGTGGAACCGGGCCATAGAAACCATGTACAACCAGTGCATGGAGGTGGGCTTTGGCAGGTGCATGCTGGTGCACTACGAACAGCTGGTGCTGCACCCTGAGAGGTGGATGAGGACTCTCCTCAAGTTCCTGCACATCCCATGGAACCAGGCAGTGCTGCACCATGAGGAGATGATTGGAAAAGCTGGGGGGGTTTCTCTTTCCAAGTGAGTATGAGCCTTCTTCCTTCACCTTGTGCTGCTCTAAAATAGTACAGTTTGTATGTAAAAATCATAGCTTGGCTTCAGTTTCTCCATTGGGCAGCTGATTTATGATGCATCTTGAAAATAAGTCATTGCTAATTAACGCTCTGCAGTCTCATATTTATGTGTGTAGTGTGAGAAGACTTTTAATGGTCAAGGCTAGCTTGAATTTGAATATCTGATGTCAGCTTTGCTTTTCTCTGTGCCCCAAAATAAACCTGAGCTGTTTTATCTAGACTGGTGTTACCCATCCCAGCCAGATCACCCATTTGATTTCAGCAACAATATTGTTGTCAGTGCAAGAATGGCCTTGGAGGTGAGTTTGCCAAGAACATCCTCTTCCAGGAAACTGGAGAAACTTCTCCAAGAGAATAGAAAGCAGAGTTGGCAGCTTTTCTCCTGGCATGTGTTCCCAGAAGGACAAGCATTTTGATGAAAATTAACCTTGTTGTAAGCAAATCTTTCACTATTCTGTTGGGCCATCTGTGCACCTGAATCAGCTGCTTTCAGAATCCAAAATCCAGCTCTGCTTAGAAAAACTAGATGGGTGCTGTTAAAAGAAAATTTGATTTATTCTCTGCTTAAACTACTCTGATTTCTTTGCCACTGTTCACAGCTGAACAACTGAAATACAGAAGCTGTTTCATCTTTACATTGAGAGAGAAAAATGTCAATTTTTGACACTCCTACTTTTGAATCTACCAGATTAATTTTTAAAATACTGAATAAGAAGCCCTATTCCAGCAGCAAGGCCTGCCCAGTTAAATTACTCAGCTCCTGGATTTGGAATATTCAGCACTTGCCAACTGCTTCTGAGTGAGAGGCACCTTGCACAGCAAGGACACACAGACTGTTACAGAGTAATTCTATTAAACTCCAGTTTTGAGAAAGAAAAATGGGGAGATTCCCTTTATTTAATGCCTAGGAACACATCTGTGGGTTTTCTAATATATTGTAAAGGCATTTGATTTAAAGCAAATACAAAATTATTATCAGTGATTACAAAGAGAACTTAAAACTCAGGTAACAATTAGATATTTACAGTGTGGAAGTTTCACATCACCATTGCCACTGAGGAAACAGCCTCCACTGTGTTCCCAGGGTTTATCAGGAAGGGATCTCATCCCTTTTTTTGGCACTGTTGTTTGATAGCAGATTGAAAATGTGGAAATGTTAACCTGAAGCAGGGCACTGTGATACCTCCCTGGAAGCTGATCCACATGGGAACTTTTCCCTAATTCCTGGGGTTTGTTGCTGCTTCAACAGCACCTGAGTGGAGGTAACTTATTTTTACTGAGATAAATGGGTGGTTGCCAAGCTTTAAGAGTCTTGTAAAAAATAACTGTGAATAATCCCATTTCTAGTAAAATATTACTGCCTTACAGCTTCCAGATTTGTGTTTTTAAAAATTAATGGACCTTTATACTGTGAAACTCAATAACCTCACTGAATTCTTGCTAATATTTCTTATTAAATCTGGTGGAATGAGGTGTGAGGAGTTGAGAATATTTGTTTCTAAAAATGAAGAAAATGGATTGTTCAAAGTCAAATGTGGCCTCGTGTTTATTTTTTCAGTAAAACCTTCACATTTAAGACAAGCGAGTGTGGACATGTTCTGGTGACCCTCAATTCAGTGTGATCCCAGAGTTCTTCATGTGCTTTTATTATCTCCCAGGAGATGATCTGGGGAAGCAATTTCTGATTTCAGGAGGCTCTAGCAATGGTGGGAAAGGACTGAGAAATGGGTGTTATGTCTGGGGTGGGTTTATCTAATCTAATACCCTTGCAGTAGGTGGTGAAATTTGGTTTTCAGTTGCAGGATTTGATAATGATTTCAGTGACTCAGGCTTTCAGGGGCTGCAGAAAACCCAGTGAATATCAAAATCTTAAATGCCTGTGTTGTGTGTTTATGGGATTCCAGTTGAAATTGCACAGGGAGAGCTTGAGATTTCCCAGTCTGATGCCCTTGTTGCAGTTAAAACCTGCTGGGTTTGGCATCCCCAGCTGTGATATTGTGTAAAAACGTCTGGAAACAAGCAGAGCCCTGTCCTTTAATCATTTTACACTCACCTGAAACACCTCCAGATCTTGCAGACAGGCTCAGCACCCACTTCAAATTTATGCTGCTGGCTCAGGTCCAGCCTAGGATGCCTGGAGGTGTTTTAATTGTTGGAGGTATTATTTGAAAAGAAATCTGACAAGTTTTTATCATCTTGAGATACTTAAAAACATTTTGAGAAAGAGATCACAGTGTCACTAAAAGACCTTTATAACAATGCTATTACCTGCTAATAAATAGAATTGATTTCTCTCCCCTTATTTTGATTTTCATCCAGGAACACTGCAAGGGCTGTAGGGATGTGCAGTCTAGGATTTGTAGGAGTGTGAATTTTCTGTGGTTTGAATTCCCTGCCAACGTGGCTGTTGAAGGAATGCATTATGGACTCCATGCTCTAACCAGGATTGTTAATTGAGCTCTGGCCTTTGCCTAAGTGAAAGCAGCTGTGCTGACATGTAAAGAAATGTCAACTCCTCTAGAGCAATTTTTATTAGGTTTATTATGGAAATAGCTGTCTAGGCAGAATTACTTCAGAATTTACTATATTTAGTACATAGCTCTCGTTTGATTCTGGTACAGATACAGAATTATTTGGGGTTAGTCCTGTCTGCTTCTTCTCCTCCCAAATCTCAAACTCTTCCCATACCTGGAATCACTACCATATAATCAATTTTCCCAAGAGCTGATGTTTCCTTGTTTTTCTGTTTGGATTTTTACATTTTTATTTCCTCTTGCCTCCAGTCTGTCTTCCCTCACAGTCTTCATTAATTCTTTATCTGAGGAATCTTTCCCATAAATTGTTTTATTTTCCTTCCCACCTTAACTGAAAGGACAGAGAAGGATTTAACCAGACCAAATGTGGAGCAGTGGATTTTTTATCAGTGCTTGGAAGCAGCTAAATGTAGTCCCTGCTATCAGACACCAGGAAGTGTTTCATGCTGAGGGTATTGTTAGCAAAGACTAAAATGACAGAGGGACAAAACACACATTCAAAATTCGACATCAGGATGAGAAATCCGTATGTGACAAATTTAGGCTCAAATCTATCTCTAATACCCATTTTTGGGGGGTCCAACAAGCTCTTAGCCAGGCTCATTACCTGGTTCTCCCAGTATCATCCTGATTTTAAGTGCTCAAATAAATTTGCAGTTGTGGTGAAGAGGTTTTAGGCTTGGGTGGCTCTGTCTGAGGACCATAAATCTTACTTTTTTCCTAACATCTCATGATAATTTTTTCCTGAGTGTCCCAATCCATCTCTGGTCTCCTGTTGTGGTGCTTTGGCTTCTGCCTTGCTGCTTTGAACTTCTGAATCTCAATTTTTAGCAGCTTTCTTGCTAATTTAATGTGGAGTCAGATGCTCATCTTCTAATTAGAAAGATCATCAAAAAACCCACTTTTGAAACTTTTAAATTTTCCATCCACACTTGTGAGCTCAGTCCAACAACCCTCAGAAGGTTGAAATTTAGTCACAACTCCCTGGTCCCAAAATCCCCTTCTGAGATCCTGCCTTTGGTTTGAGTCTCTGGTAATGGTTGAAGAGGACAAAGCTGAAAATTCTGGGGTTGTTTTAGAGGTTTTATTTTGTCAGATCCTTTCCAGCTCTCATAAAACACCAATCTGAAGGCCCTGCTTGCCAAGACAGTTTCCTTATGACCATTTCCCTGTCTGGTTTGTTCTTTGTTGATTGTATTGCAATTATTTCACCTTACTGACCTTCCAGCCTTGGATGACTGATTTCCTTCCTCTGGTCTGGGAGGACTTTAGTTCTGATGAGGAACAAAAAAGAGGAGCAAGATGAACTCTGGTGACTGGTGTGTGCTCAGGATCAGGTGTGAGGCAGACAGAAATATTCCTTTTATATGTCCAATAACATCCAAACTCTTTCTGGGGTCAGAAAAGAAGTTTTAAATTATTTAGAGTAAAAACTCAGAGAGTTTTCAATTATTCAGCCTGAATTCTGTTCCAAAAATAAACACAGTAAAGAAGTTATGTGTCGTACAGTTGTAAAGACAGAACAAAGCAGTGCCAGATTTCTTCCCTGGAAAAAGAAAACACAACAAAAACACTCCACAAAAGTAGAGCAAAAATGAAAATTACATTAGGACTGTTAATTAAATGAACAAGAAATCAACTATTTTCTAAATATGACACTGATTGTGCACTTGCCTTTAAGATGTATGCGAAGGCCAAATAGTCAAAGGAATGGTTATGACAAATATTTCTGTACTTTGTAGCTTTCTGTCATCTTAGGTCTCTCTTTTATTAAACAAATTTAAAAAAAAGTGAACCACAGAGTGGTTGTGAGAAGAAATAACACATGGATTAGAATTTAGAATAAAACTTTTAATACATCCTAGACAATTAAACAGCAAATGTGGGAAAACAGATTTATATGTACATGTGGGTTTACTTTTCACTTAACAGCTCTTGGGCTTTCTCTGCTGCTTTTATGGAATAAAGGAGTTGTTTCAGCATGTGAAAACTTTAGAGCCTAAACCAGGCAGCATCTGCAAATATTGTGTAAATTATTCTCATTAAAACTTCACTTCCCATCAGCTCTGTAGAAAACATGAAATTATGAGAGGGAAAGAAGAATGGGAGGAAAAAAAACCAAAGAAAACAAGCTTAAGGTCTTAGTGCTATTGAAGAATAATTGGTTGGAGTGGAAACTATAAATTATTTTTTTCTTCTTTCCCAGGGTTGAAAGATCCACTGACCAAGTGATCAAGCCAGTGAATGTGGAAGCCCTGTCCAAGTGGGTTGGGAAGATCCCAGCTGATGTCCTGCAGGACATGCCAGTGATTGCCCCCATGCTGGCCAAACTGGGCTATGACCCCTATGCCAACCCCCCCAATTATGGGAAGCCAGATCAGAAAGTGGTGGAAAACACAAGGAGGGTAAGGTTTTTGTGTGTTTAATTATTGACTGAATGGATATGAGCTCTAGAGCAGGAGTCTTGTGTTTGGTCTGGGGATTTGAAGTCTGTTTCTAATACTTTTTGCTACTTCACAATGTGTTTTCTTTGGGGGAAAATGAAAGAATTCTTTGCTTGGTGTGTGGAGCTGATCCTCTTGAGAGCTGCCCAGAAAGTTGGGGAACTGGTTAACAGTGGAAAAAGCTTTCTTGTCAGGATTTCAGACTTGATGGACGAGCTCAGCTTTTTATACATGAGGGTTGGCAGAAGCTCTGTCACAAAATTATACCCCAAATACTTGGTAGAGTTTGAAAAATGACCCATAGAAAATAGCCCACGATGATCAAAATGTCTGATTTTTAAATTCTTTGTAGAACAGCTCAAACAGCTCAGAGAAAGGTCTGGTGCTGATTAACCTAAATTTAAGGATTTGGGTCTGAATTTAATGTTGTTGGAATTTGAGTAGTTGGGCTATAGAGCTGTTTATCCCTGGAGGTATCTATTGAAAAAGTCATTACCATTGTTGGAAATAGAATTAATAACTCTGCTTCTGTTCCTTTTGGGCATGTATAGTTTATTAAAAGAAGGTGACTTTTGCTGCTGCAGCAGAGTAATCAGGGGGGAAAAAAAATTGAATTAAACAATTTATAAGGACTGTCTTCCACCAGCCTTCTGATCCTTGGAATAATGATGGGATAGATAGGAATGAAAAAGGAATTTGGGGGTTTGTGAAGTCTCTGAACATTTTTGCATTATTTCTTTTCTAAAAAAATTTCATTAATCATTAATTAGTGTAATAAAGGCTGGCAGCTTGATTGTTTTAATTCATAGCTGATAGCTCTGCATGGAAAAAGTAACCTACCCTTTTTGGTTATAATTTATAAGTTCCCTTTTAAAGGTTTACAATCAAATTAACTTTTCTGCGCGCAGTTAAAAAAAGTGTTCAGTATTAAAAGTTGCAAATTGTATTGGTTGTATCTCACTGATAAAACTGACACAAGTTTTTACAGCCTGCTGACCTTTCTGAGGCCCCCACCTGTGTGGGGCAATCTCAGGCCAAGCTGTAAAAATTGTCTGGATTTCTGTCACTTCTTGAAATGGATTTGATTTCAAAACATAAGAGAGGAATTCAGGTAATAAACAAAGCCAGGAGCATCTCTCTAAAGAAATGAAAACCTAATTCAAAGGCTGAGGGTTTACTGAGGCTTTTTCCAAGTTTGCTTTGAAGGATAATTTGTTTGTTTACCAATGCTAAGAGCAGCTGTTAAAAACTGAAGCTGATCTAAATATTGCAGACATATGGAACACTCAGTAATATTTTGGCTGCTATTTTAATTTAATAGCTTTACTTACAGCCCTAGACAGCATTTTAATTTGTTGTTTATTGTAGTACCCAGTATATATTTTTCTAGTCACTTGTTCTTTGCCAAAATTCCATTTGCATGCATAGTTTGTACAGATAAAATGAGGGAGGTGCTCTGAATGAATGCTGAAAACAAGAGAGTTCAAGATGGTTCATCTTCAAAACTTAGAATATTCTTTGAAAATAGACCAACATAAAGATTTCAAACTGTTTCAGACTCTGGTGTGTAAGTTTGGCCCATCAGGGATGGCTCTTGTGCAGTTTCCTTTCTCCTCCAGGAACTTGTGCTAATTTATTCCTTGCTGCTGTAGCCTGGAGAAGAAAGCATTTATTTAATTGGATAAAATAAATAAACCTGGGTTTTTCCAGCCTTTTGGAGCTGGCACTTGGCAAGTTAAGATCCTGTATATTCTGAGCTGGTGAAATTGTAAATCACTGTAGCACTTCTTTTACTTTCTTTAAATTTCTTCACCTGGGATAGCCTTTCACAGAGTTTTGTACTGGATATCTGGAATATGGATGAAGCTGTTCAAAGAAAATGTTTCCAGAATTGTTCTTCAGTGCATAGTAAGAATATCTGGATCTTGTTTGTAGCCATTTATTGGCTCTTTTTGTGTTTGGAAGCATCTCTCTTATATTTATATTTGTGTTTGTGGTCTCCAAGCCTTTAAAGTGAACACAGAACTTGAATTGTATTCATTGAAAACAGATAAAGTTCAGACTTCTAAAGCTGAGCAAAATCTGTCCCTTCTTGGAAAAGACCACAAATTGCTCTTAACAGTGAAAATAATGCTCAGAAATATAAAGCTGCTGCTCTCAATCATGGAAGTGAGAACCAACTGTGTAAAAATTTCTAAAAAAGGGGCTGGTACTGGAGAAAAATGGAAAGAAATGGTTGCTGTGGTGCAAAATATTAGTTTTCCTAAGCTTTCTGAACACTCAAGTTCTGTTCTTTATTCCTCATTTCTCCTTTTCTGTCCCCTGCTGGTGAGTTCCATATGAACAGCTCAAACATCTTTTTTTTTATTCAGTCTGGAGACAAAATGATGGTTTTCTCCAGCTAAAGGACAGTGCTTAAATTAGAAATGCTATCTCTTTGTAGGTAATGCAAAGGAAACAATGGTCTCTGCTAAATTTGGATTTTTCACTTGCCTGTAACCTGTGTAGGACACCAAAATGCTGAGGTTTGGTTTCTGTGCTCCTGCAGCACAGCACAAAAATAACAAGAAACAACCTGGGTTTGTACTTTGACCCCTCTGCTTTTATTGGAGGAACTAGCAGAGCATGAAGGGAACTCCATCTCTTGTTGTGTTGCTCTCCCAGTGCTGCATTAGGAAATAAAACATCTCTGATGAGATCTGCACTGGGTGAGCCACGAGTTCAGATTTTTCTGGTGTTTTCACTAACAAAGCCATTAACTTTTTGTTTGTCTGTTTTCTGTTAAGACTGGCAATATTATCTTTTCTGACAGTTTCTCTTGTCTCAGTAAAGGAATGCAGAGCAGAGAGAGCAAGGTCTGGCCAGGGTTGTGCTGCTCAGCAGATCTCTGCATGTGACCTCTCCAAGGAGGGTGATTTTCACTGAACATGTGGTTTTCTTGTAATTCTGTTGTTGATCTATTAATTTTTCACTGCAAGGGTTCCTTCCTTTTGATACATAATTACTTGTTGTTCCCCCGTATAGTTTTAACAAATTCTACATCCTGAGGACAAAGGAAATTGACATCCTGAAATAAAATAAGTTTTCATCTGCAAATTATGTAGAAAATGCAAATAATTAAGCTGTGTGTGAGCTGGTAGCCCAATCTCCATGGGGTGAAATACATTCACTCCTCATTAGAGCAGCGTGTGATATGTCCTTATCAGTACTGTGAGGTTGTGTCAAAGTGAGTTTCAGCAGTTTGCCAGAACCCAGCAGAAGAGGAGAGAGAGCAGCTCCCAGCTGCAGAGCTCTGCCTCCTGCCCACGAGAAGCTGCACTGTTGTGTTATGGTTGGCACAGTGGTTTCCTCTCCCATCTGTAATGAATTACATCAGATTTTCTTTGGCACGTCCTTCCCACTAAATAAATTTGTATTCTTGGAATACACACTTCAGTAAGTTCTTTTAACTTCTTCATGAAGTTGTGCTCCCTGTCATGGAGAGATCCAGAGGTGGAAGTTGCAGAATTCCAGAGAAAGAGCTGTGGCTTTCACCAGGACTGTTCAAACACAGTGATTCTTCTCCTGACAGCCCAGAGCTGTTCTCCAGCTCTGGTTTGTCTTCAGCTGATGGTGTTTTATGTTCAGCTGATGGCAACATCTGGAGATAAAAACAGAGTTTACTCACTCTGGTCTCATTCCTGATTTAAATTGTGAGGAACCATCTCCTGTTCCAAGTCAAAACATCCATGACAACCAGGATTTCAAGAGTTTGTCTTTGAGATTTTAAGGGCAGGAGCAGTCTCTGATAAAGGTAAAAAGTGTATGTATCCTAAGGGATGAGGAAAATTGTGCTGTCAAAGGTGTTTGAGTGCCCAGCTGCTCAGGGCCCTGCATCTCCATTTTCACTGATGAACCTGGTCATAAAGGCATTTGGCTTTGGGGGATTTTTCTCTGATATTTAAAACAAAAATCTGGGGGTTATTCCATCTTTTTTTTGTGACCACAACAGCAGACTTTCTCAGTGTCCTCTATATTTGTTGAATATTCCGTTTAGGCAGTGTTTCTTCCAACATGTGGATTCTCACATAGTTTTTCGCCAGAGGTGCTGCTATCTAATTTTTACAACAAAAACAAAACCCCAAACCCTTTATCTCTGCATAAATGTGATTAATAATACATAAAGAGAGTTATTACCAACCAAAATGCAAACTGAGGTGTGGTTGCAAGCTGCCTTTTGGCAGACATTGCTGGGCCTGTGTAAGATCCTGCTCACTGTGCTGTCCCTCCTGGGTAAACATTTACATCCCACATGGCCCTGCCTTGGGAGGTCCAGCAGAGGTGAAGAATTGTGTAAACCTTTAAAGCTGCCTTAAAAGTTCAGAAAAATCTGAAAGACTGAGGGTACCTCCATGTGCTGTGCAGTGGTTCTAGAAAGGAGCTCAGCTCTGCTTTTGCCAGTGTTCTTGATTATTTTTTTTTCTTTTACAATTAAACATCAACAGCTGTATACTCTGCAACATGTTTTAAAGTTTACCAAGCCCAAGCACACTTGGTTGCAGAGTGACTTTTACACAAAAAAATCCCATTATTTTTGTGTGCTGAAACTGACCAAATATAATGGGACTCTTTTCAAAGCAGACTGGAAAGTGGGTGAAAATAAATGCTTTAATCTTCTATAAAAAAGAATAATAGGTTACACTTCTGTTCTGAAGTTCTCCCTGTGTGTTTAGAGGGGTTTTCTCAGGCAACTGGATGTGAAATTTGTTTTCTGATCTCTTTTTGAGTATAATATCCGTTCTGTTTGGCTATAAGAATGTGTTTTGGTTTTTTAATAGAGCAGCTTGAATACTGCCAACACTGAACAACAAACTGACACAGGCTTCAGATCCCCCTCTTCTGGAATTCCATTTGGACTTGCAAAATAATTCCCTTAGAAATGGTAAACACCATTTCTTCTCAATTTTACTGAATTCTTGCTTAGACTGGAAATAATTCCAATATCCTGCTTCAGCCTCTCTAATGCCACTGTGAGTGATGTGTTTTACACTTACAAATTGGTCAGAAAAGGATTGGGAATCTGAAGCCTCTTTAATTTCTTTGGCTGTGGATGGAGTCATTGTTTTTAGAATGTCTGGATTGCTGTTGATCCCTGGGTTTTGATTCAAAAGGGACCATTTATGTTTTTGGAATTACTTTAAACCAGTTTTTATGCAGTCTCCTCCTGACAAAACCAGCCCTTAGGTAATGTCACTTCTGAATCAAAATTTATGTGTTAAACCTAATCTTTGGCCTGCCACTGCTTAGATTTGCCTTGGTAAATTGTGCTGTGTAAATGCTGATAGTTTCATGTGAATATAATATGAAATACCTTCAAAACATTTGCTTTCCAGTGACATTATTCTTTTCAACATTGCTGATCTTGACTATCTGTTGTTAGATGTTTATGGGGTAATGGCTGTTCCTGCAAAGGTGAAGTTTTTAGAGCAGACAAAAATCTAGATGTGTAATATAAAAATTAGACTGAATCATAATTCCAGGAGAAGGAAAGGAGGAGGATTCTGGAGAGAGCCTTGGGTTTGGTCCTTCTGGTTCTGGATCAGTCACAAAGTGCTGCCACCATCAGGATTAATTGTTTTTAAGGATTCCCAGAAAAAGTGAAGGTTCCTGTCTGTTCCTTGCAACATCAGCACCACCTAACAAAAAATCCTGTTTTCTCTTGTGACCCTTGCTGAGGTTATTCTGTAACATTTTTGCTGTGATAATGTTGTTTTGTAACTTCCATTCCTGTTCTCCAGGACACAGCCTGCATTTTAATGGTTTGGATAAAAGCAGAAAATGAGAACTCCTCTCCTTGATTTATAAATATTTATAGTGAAGCAAGGCTCCAATAGCCACACACCGCATTTCTGCCCAGTGTGACTTTCCTTAATGCTCCTTTGGGAATGCCAGTGGCTCCTAGCTGAATACAGATGAGAGCTGTTTCTATTTTATCTAAACCATGGAATATCAGAGTGCCACAACGTGTGTGTGCAGTAATTCCTGCTCTCAGTGAAGCCTGGTGGTTTGGATCCCAGGGATGGATTGGGATGGGAATCCAATTCTGAGTCCATCCTGTGAGTCACAGGATCTGCTGGGCAGGAAATTCAGAGCTGACTCAGCTGCAGTCCCAGGCCACTGCAGAATATTGACAAGCTGGGCATGGCTTTGTGTTCTGGTCATCTGCACATAGGAGAGCAGAGAAAATTGTAATAAACATGCCCTGACTTCCTGGAGCTCCTTCCTTTGACGCAAAGCAGGGAGTGCAGCTCAGAGCGAGGCTTCAGAGGAGCCCCATTTCCATTTCATGGCTTTAGGGAATTTTTCCAAATAGATTTGTGCCCTTTTTTATTTTGAAATGATTACACAAGACCACAGTCGTGACATTGGGATGATCAGTCTTTATGCTTCAGTAGACAGGATGGTAAAACTCTTCAAGTATACTTCAGTGCTGGAAAAGTAAAAAGAGCAGATTATGTTTTTTTATCCTTTGGAATGTTTATTCTCAGAAGCAAAGAGCTTTTAAAAATGATCCTCTAGAGAGAAGACAATATGTTGCCAAAATATTTAATGTTCTAGCATTAGTTGATGCTAACAACACAAAAAAAGCTTTAATTTTTTTTTTCCTTTCCCTTAACAAGCTCTTCAGCATTTTAAACAATAGTGAATGAGAGCTTTAAGTAGTATAATTTTTTGTTTGTTTTTCCAGGTCTATAAAGGTGAATTTCAGCTTCCTGACTTCCTCAAAGAAGTGCCACAGGTACAGTATTGAATTAATTTCCTTTTTGTGGGTGTAGCAGCAAATTATATCGAGCAGCCTTTATAAACAATTTCTTCATGAGCTTGATTTTCTGATTGATGGCAAGATTTGCAGATTATCCATGAGATGGAATCTTGAACTCGGCATCCCAAACCTCTCCTGAATTCATGTGTAACTCCAGAGTTAAGAGTGGTGTTTGTTAACCTGAGCTGCCTGAATATTGCTGTGAAATGGAAGAAAAAATTGAACCTCTTTTCTGGACCAGACTGCAAAGTTTGTTACTTGTAGAGGAGCTTTATCTTTTGTTATCTTGGTTTAAAGCAAGTCTAGTCCAGAGGGCAGAGTTTATAAGTGCTGAGAGATTTTAAAAATAAATAGAGATATTATCAAAGTCAACAAACCCAGCCATGGATAGGGATGGTGTTGATTTAACAGTCAAGTGTGCTATGGAACTTAAGGTTTTACTGAAAATTCACAATTTGGTACTCCCCAAATGCTGTTCATTGTCATCAGCTCCCTAAAGGACCTGCAGAAAAAAAACAGAAGAAAAACCCTTATTGTGAAACTCTCAATGTGAAGTTCTCAAACTGTAGGATTTTGTGGATATCACAGAATTGTGAAATCCCAGAATGGTTTGGGTTGAAGGGACCTTAAAAACCATTTTTTTTCCACCCCTTGCCATGGGCAGGGACACCTTCCACTATCCCAGGTCGCTCCAAGCCCTGTCCAGCCTGGTCTTGTACACTGCCAGGGATGGGACAGGTTAAAAATACCAGGAATCTACCACAGACAAAGCATTTTGACTTCTCCGTTTGTTCAAATAAAAATGATTTGATTAAAAAAGAAAACTGATTTCTTTTGTTCCAGCCAAAGAAGACAGTAGAAAGGAAGTCTCGTGGCAAGATAAAATGAACGTGGATCAGTGAAGTGGCATAGCTGTAGTGTGTGTTTCATGTTTTCAGAAAATAACCCTGCTGTGGCCACCAAATCTTTCTGAGCAGCCTTTGTGTGATCTCTAACGTGGGCTTGGCTTTTTCCTGGCTGTTTGCCTGCTTGGATCACTCAGTGCTCCTGCTTTGCTCAGCTCTGGAGAACCATCCCAGCCCTGTTGCTGCCAGCATTTTGTCCCTGTCACTGAGTGTCTGCTCCATGTGTGCTGCTGAATTCACAGGAGCCTGCTGGGGTCACTCCTGGGGCTTCCACATGGGATTGCTGGTGGGATTGCAGGATTAGCCACAGATGAAGCTGCAGGAATAGGGTGTGCCTTAACAGGAGGGGAAATATTGCTGAGAGGATTTATGGAAAATGCAGGGAGATCCTTCAGAATTGAGCACACCGTGTTTAGACGGTGAGCTAGCAAAAAAAATCCATGATTTTGAATAAATCCTGGGTTAAATCCTTTAAATCCTTGTTTGCATACAGTATCAGTTAAATTATGCTGTTTGTGATTTTCAGTTATCCCAAAAGAACTTGGGCCACTGTGACTGATAAATTCCTTCTTCATAGGATAAGGAGGTTCCTGCTAAATTCCAGGAGGTGGATTTATACAATTAACTTGGTTTAAGTACAATATTTGCCAAAATCTGAGCAGATTTACCCATACCCAGACCACCTAAAAGACAAAAATAAGCACTGTGGAAGAGTAAAAGAATATTCCTTAAACCATAAAATCTTGATCAAATTGATGCTGATATTGTTCTCATTTAGTGTTAACATAATGTAACTAAACAGCTCAAAGGTTTGGAGAACAGACATTGGTACTGATATTTTTGTCCTCTAATGTAAAATAGCTAATTTAATTATTTTTTTGACAGACTGAACCTATGGAATAGAGGATAAAATGGACATTTCTTGCACAGAAGGTAATACAACAGCATGGTTTAACTTCTGTAACTGCATGGGTAAGATAAAGATGAAGATACATTTTTTAAAGGAAACTGCTAAAGATGAGTTATTTTGTAATATTTGATTTAACATCTCATAGGCAGTTTTTTCAAAAAGCTGCATTTTAGTCACTGAATAAACACTGACAAAATTTTGCAGGGAGCTGAGTAAATTCCAGACCAGTTTGAGAGGAATGAGAGATGCAACATTTCCTGTGTTAATCCAGGATTTTTACTTGTCAGCCCTGCTATCAGATGTTCTGGCCTGACAACAAAAGATGGCAGAATTTAAATCCAGTTTAAAAATAGCCCAAAGCAATGTGTCCTACAAATATCCCCAAAATAGATCCTTATGTGGCCATAAATATAAACACCCTAAATATAGCCAAAAGCACTGTTCTGTGTAGAAATAATGGATCTAAAAGCTTCCCAGAGATGAATTACAGGCCTTCACTGTGAAATCAATAGAGAAACCATCCTCTTTTCACACAGTCAATGTTAAAATGACTAAAGCATCAACCTCATTTTGCCACTTAGCTCTGAAAAATGGATTTCAACCTGCAATATTTCTGTCTAAAGCTCCTGCCCAGTTTCTGAGAAACCAAACTGGGAATTTCCCAGCAGTAACTTCCCACTGGGTCACAAAGGTTTGGGTTGTAAAGTTGAAAATCAGTATATTTTTTTTGCACCATGCTCCAAGCAGTCTCTCTAATGATAAAGGATGGACAGAGCAGCCACATTCCTTAAATACGTGGGATTTGTCTCGGCAGTGACTTTCCACCTGCTGAAACAACAGTGGCTACTCTTAATTCTGTATTATTTGTAATTCCAAAATGCTGTCCAGGATAAAAAGCTGAATATTACCAGGAAAGCTCCAACATAACTTTATTTCTTTTCCCCTAGGAGATCAACTGCTGCCTTTTCCATGGGAATGATCCCTCAGGCCTAGGCCCCTGGGATCAGAGGTGTGCTGCTCATGGCCTGTTCTCTTCAGAATGTTCTCTCCTGTTTCTTTCATCCTGTTTTTGTTCTGTATTTTGCTGTTGTGAGCGCATGTAAACCTTATAAAAAAAACAACAAAAAAATCACTGATGTTAATGTAGAACTGCATTACATTCGCACAACTATTTTTTTAAGGTTTTAAAAAATGCAAAAGCAATGCCTGTCTCTGAAATTGCTCTTTTGTTTTAATTACAGGGCTCCATCTTCAAAGATTTTTTTTTTTTTGTTTCTTGTAGCAGTTTGGTTTTAAATGTATGAAGCTTTCAAGAGTGCTCTGTGCTTGTCCTGAAAGATTTTTGGTGGAACAGTTTGTTTAATTCATATGTGGAAAATGTTAATTATCTTTTATTTAAAAAAAAAAAGTTGATAAATTACATGTACAATTGCAATTCAATGATCTTTTGTATTTTATTTTTCAAAATAAATGCTTTAAATGTGATTTTTGTTTATTTATTTATTAATTAATGGTTTTGCTTCCAACTTAAGATTTAAATAATTTGAGATATTGATGTGAAGGAAGGTACAATCTCATGTCCTGGGTTTGGATCTTATTTTAAGGTTTGCAATTTAAGCATTTGTTTGCTTTTAATATCTGGGTGATGAAACAATAGTAAATTGGAGTGTCCCACTGAGAGGTATAACGTGAGATTTGTTCACTGCAGGAAGAGGCAGATAATTTTTAGACTCTTGAATTTATTCCTCAGAAACAATTTTGTTCAAAGATGCTCTGCTAGGGGAAACTGCTGCTGTGAGTTGTATCCTAAAGTTTCGATCTTTAGGATACAGTGTGAAACACTATTATTTCCTTTAGGTATTTTTGGGATGGTTGTTATGCCTCGTTTTCTGCTCCTCCCGGTGGTTCAAGGTGGTGAAGGTGGTTTCAACCTTCCCCACTGGTTTTCGGAGGAGTTCTTGCCAAAACATTTGCATTTCCTCGGATTCTGGATCTGACGGAGTTTTTGCTTTTCCTGCGTTTCTCCGTTGCTGCGTTTGGGATGTTTATAAAGCCCGCTGCCCTCACGGCTGTGTGCCGTGCCGGAGGAGGATTTCCCCGCTCCCTCCCACACGCGGTCCCGGGGCCTCCCCTGCTGCCGGCTGAGGGCAGCGCGGCCGCGCTGCTCCCGAGGCCGCTAATTAACCCCGGCTAATTAACGCTGGGCGTTTCCCTCGGAGCTGCGCGGCACTGAGGGATAACCCCCGGTGCCGCTGCCGCTCCCGGTGCCGCCTGGGCGGCTCCGCCCGCCGGGACCCGGATGGGCCC